AACAAGTAGCAAAAAGTTGGCCGAGCAGGGGAAGTTCAGTGTCAAGGAGATGGTCGACATAATAAAAATGGACCGGATTATGCTGAGGCTGTGGCACTACGTGGAGTTCGAGTACGAGGAAATGGATAAGCGGGAGTGGAATGCCAACTCCACGTTCTTCAGGTCCAAGAAGCAACTGTTCGAAGAGTTCAAGGACAGAGGTCTCGACGACAAGCTTTGGAACGAGAGCAGGAAAATTTTCACGGACACCACATACGTCAACAAGTGCCCTTAGTTTCTCGGGTGTCAACACGACAACAACATCAAGAGAACGGCGGCCCTCGTCAACTACCAGCATTTCCCGGCGGAGTGGAAGCGTGTCGTCCTTTCGGTGATCACTGGAGATCGCGCCAAAGGAAAAAAAAACCCTCGGGGCGTTGATGAATGCATCAACATTATATGGACAAGGACAAGCGCCTTGATGACGCTGGCCCAGTTTAACGTCGACCCGTTGAGTGTCATAGATCATAAGCAGGCGCTGGGAAAACTAGGGCATCAACTACGCTCCCACACTTGCGTGCTCGACTTGTGCGGTGTTGTGGACCGTGCGCAATGGGACTCTGGGGCATTCGCGTCTCAAAGTGAGTTGCTGGGCTTCGTTTGTCAGGACTACTCGACATTGGTGGTATCCGTCCCCTGCCTTTGGAACCTCTCCTTCGTGATATGTTTGTCTGCGCTTGGGGCTACCTGATGCTACACGTGGAAGTGGGTTCGGAACTCGGCATCGAAGAAGACGCATCAGTCCGGAAACAGCGTCTGGGAGGAGCCGGATGTGATGCACATCCTTTTCAAAGGCGAGGATCCTCGGCTACTGACTCACCCGGTGTACGAGGGAGCTGTTGCTGAAGACGAGGACGACGCTCTTCGGAGGAAACAGAAAGTGACACCCACGGATGTGGAGGAGAAGTCTTTCAAGTCTTTGACTTTCGCGGACATCGGAAACCTGACCCAGAGGGGGGCTCTGTACAAGGACGGCGAGCGGAATCTGAATCAGTTGTGCAATCAGCTTCTTTTCTTTTGTGGTGTGGCGGATGCCGTGCTGTTCTTGGGCAAGCCGCACGCGYAGGTGGTGTGGAGTCTGCTTCAGCAGGGAAGGCACGTCTTGGCCGTGGATGGGGACACAACGCAGCTCGAATACACCATGCAGTATGTCACCCATGAAGTGYCGTCCAAGGCTTACCYATGTGATTTCCACCATGTCGTGGTCGAGCCCGTTTATGACCCGAACAAGGACATGTTCTTCAAGTTGACTCCGAAGAAAAGGCGCCAGGTCTACTCCTTCCTTTACGGCGAACAACCAAGGTTGAGATTTGACCCGCAGTACGTGGTGCGGAAGGAAATCGCCATTGCGGTCCTCTAGGGCTACCACGGAGCGAGTCGGGCCGGCGCTGTGAGCTTCATTAAGAGGCTGGAATATGTCTTTTTTAGCGAAGATGTTGTCGATCCGGCCGACTTCACTTTGGATAAGTACAAGTTGGCATTCGGTGAGGAGGACGACTTCAATATCAAGACCGAGCAGGAGGAGAGCGTTGAGGACGACCTCTTCGATTTGGACGGGCAATTGGCCATCTTCAACGCCCAAGTTTTTGAGTCGCCATCAGTATGCAAACCACGGACAGCTCTCGCTACACCTACCTCGGGCGGTCCCATGCCCATGTCCTCCTCAGCGCCTGTCAAGAGGGGTGGGTTGTCCCGTCTGAGGAGTTCGCCGGGGGAGCCTATTAGTCTCACGCCGCAGCCTGAACGTCTTCAACCCGGCCATCTAGTTCTTCGGACCATCCGCATCTCAAGGCTCCTGCGACTCCCTTCCACATGGGCGACAAACACACCTTCTCCATAGCCGAAGATTGGGGCCATGATATCGTGTGACACCCAAACCATTTCCAGCCAGTCCTTCTCGACGGCGAATGGGCAGTGGCTGTGAGGAAAGTAAGTGGAGGGTGGATATATGACGATCGTTGGGACCTCGAGACATTCAAATCTCGCGCCTACGATGCGGTATTGGAGAGATTAAGTGAGGTCAATCGACGAATAAGGACGACCCTGCTCTTCGCGAATACGAGGACACGCTGTTCGAGTTCTTGCAGTCAAATAAATGGCTAGAAGTTTCCTCCGCGTTCTACGCCCTTCCGTGAAGCCCGTCAATTACGCAAGTGAGTTAGGAGTTGCCAGGGGTCACCCCGCCGGCAGGAGTTGTGAAGCGCAAGTCTCGCGGAAAGGACGGCGACGGGGATGGTGAAGGCGGCGGGCAACGAGGTACCGAAGGTGGAAGTGAACAGCGATCGACGAAACAGCGGTCTCCGGGGCACGCAGGTGGCGGAGAGGGGAGAAAGGGCAGCCGGGAGAAGAATAAGCCTCACAGCGGAGAGAAGACAAAGCATCACAGAGGAGACGGGCAGGGGTCCGATGTCGACCGCGACAAGGACAATGGGGTTCTGGCGGTAACAGGCAGCACCTCAATGGAGACGGGGAACGACTTGAGGCATGGGTGTATTACGCGGCCTGGCGAGCAGGACCCTGTGATTAGCTTCACCAGCGAAACACAGTTTGTCGATACAGTTGGCAGGGCGGGTGTCGCAAAGCATGGATGCTTCGCTCTGCTCCAAATGCGGTTGGCGGATTGTCTCGGATCAATCCGAACCTCGGAGATGACCTCGTTGTCCGGAACTCAGTGCCTTCCGGGAAGCGATACGACAACATACCACGGGTCTGGCAGCGACAAGCTGGAACCGTGTTTTGTTTCGCCTCAAAAGGAATTTCGGATTAATCCGAACTGCGAAGGCCGTGCCATCGAGGGAGCACAGCTGTCTACAGAACTCGAACGGGTGGTCCGGGTTTCCGAAAACCCTGGCGACGAAATTCGGATTCATCCGCACCAGGAAGCCGTGTTTGCCATGACAGAGGATCGGTGTCAGGATGTAGTAATGCTCTGCGTGGAAGCCCACAAGGAGCTGCAGGCGGACTGTCGGACTGAGGGTGAGTTGGCGACCAGTTCCAATGTCGAGCCCAACACACTCGGAGCTGAGTTAGCAGTCGTAAGCGACTCCCCGGTGAAAGCGGTCATGTCGGCGTCATTTGAAACTGCGGGGGCTCGGATGAATCCGAACCAGGGCCCTGTGAACATGTCCCTCCCTGATGCATCTTTGGAGACGACCGTGATTCGGATTCATCCGAGGCACACGGACGAAAGACTTCAACTGGCAGGCGTTGAGGGTTGTCGACTACTGACGACTTTGGACAAGGACATATCCGTCGACGACCAGATTGATCCGACACTCAGCGACGTCGGGATGGAGCTACCAGTTCAGCCGGGATACGACAATCCCTTGTACTCCGCCCTTCACAACGAGGCGATGGGGGAGGACGTTCTGAAGAAGGCCTCTGACGCTGTTGGAGATAGATTTCTCTATTTGAGTGACGACGACAAAGACACAGCGTACGGGGACAAGAAGTTAACGGGGGGAGAGGTGTTGTTGGACATCCATGAAACATTGAGCCCAACATAATACGACACAGTGGCAATGGAGAAAACACAACCTGTCGATGTTGTGGACGTGGACGATCTTTGTCCGGAGACAAATATACCGTCTACGGTCATCGACGCCGACATCTCGAGCCTGTCAAGTTTCCCTGTGGGTTTGGAGCACGTCGTCGCCGCGTCGACGTGCGCAGGGGTGCCAATCGTGCAGGGACTGCCGTCGGTGGGCTATGGTGAAGTGGTAGCTAGGCCTGGTAAGCACCGACTTTCTCTGCTTTCTTCCCGCTCGTCAGCCCGTTCGTGAAGTGTTGTTTGCTTCGTCGATTTCGGGGAGGTGTATAGGCGGCCGCCAACTGGATTGTGACGATGTGCTTCGTGAGGTGCTGTTTGCTTGGTTGCTCTTGCGAACTTGTGTTGTTGATCTCCTCCTGAACTGTCTGGGTGGCTATTTCTTGTACAGGTCGACGAACTCGTGGACAAACACCCATGTCGTAGGAGCCACCTCCCCTCGCCAACTTTTCAGTCCTGGTTGCGGGAGGCACTGGTTGTCGCAATGTCACTGGTGCGTTCCCTGGGGATACTAAGCCTCGAGGCCCTCCCAGAAGGGTAGTCGTGCCCGTATTGGGCTCCCGCGTAAGACTCGTTGCAGAGACAGCGGGTGTTGCCGAAAAAGACAGCAAGGAATTCCTTCTCGAGGCTTGCAGGGATATAAAGGACAGTGCTAGTTTAGAATCAACTGTATGTAGAAGGTTCTGAAGTAGGGGTGACGTTATGCGTGAACTTCTCGGACCACAGAGTAGTGGTTCCTCGGACCATGGCCGCTAGGACGACATTTTCTCATAGTGCACCGTCCCTTGTGCTTGTTGTGTGCTGCGGGTGTTTGTTGAACAGGGTTTCCTCGAGATGGAAGAGCGGTCCTTGAAGACGTTATCTGCTCCCGGCTGCCGCTCACTATCATCGTCGCATGTTTGCCGTCTCACATTTTACAGGTATCCGACAAGGACATCGTCGCACTCGTAGATAGATCCGGGGAGCTCAACGATGAGGTTGTCAATTTCTACATGGCGATGCTACTGGACGATTGCGGCCGGACTGCCACTACCATGAAGACATACCATGAAGACTCACCGCTTCTTCGAGGTCCGGCAGCTGTTCTCTGATGGGCTAAAGATGTCGACCTCCTGTCTCATGACCTCGTCTTGGCACCAGTGCACAAGGACGGCGAACACTGGAGCCTTTTGGCCATTGACTTCTATAGACGTGTTTTGGAAATCTATGATTCTTTCTCGTGTTTGTCATCCAAAGATTCTTTCTACTCCGCACTTCTGGATAAAACTGTTAAATTTTTGAACACGGTGGCAGGTGCCGCCGGTGATGGTCGCACTTTCGATCACTTCGCTCGCGAGGTCAGCGTGAAAGGTGTCCCTAGGCAGCACGACAGGGCTAGTTGTGGGGTGTTCATGTTGATGTTCGCTTCCTGTTTGGCGACAGGTTTACGTCCACCTTTTGGTTTCTCCCATAGACACATCTCCTCTATCAAAGTTAGACTAGCTTTGGCGATTTGCGATGTTGGTAGGTAAGTGTCTATCTCTTTGTTGATCATGTAGTGTAGAAGGGTTGACGTAGAAAAACATTTCGTTCTTCTCCGGACGAAATTTGTTCCTTTTCATTTTTTCCGTGAGGGACTGGTGGGTGTTCTTGGTTTGGTTCAGAGCAGAACTGACTGTCACTGCCATGAAATCTCCGGGTGAACTTGTCATGTCCCCGGCGTGTTTGTCGTCGACAATATTGTTCTTTCTCATTGGATTTCAATTATCACGAACGTCCCCGTTGTTGGGGCACCTGTTTCGTGATAGAATATCTCGCTTTCGTCATTTTGTGCCTTGTGTGGTGTGATGTTCTGCCCGCATACTCGGATGCATCCAGACTCGAACTAACTCTATGCTTTTCTGCCTCTCTCCTAAACCTCCCCCGTCGTCTACACTCATCTATGCATTTTCACTTTGAATGTTGTGAGGCGTCACAGAGAACAAAATACAACACACGGGCCTCTTTATACATTTGATGGTCCGTCTGGCCCTCCACACTGTGTGCTTTGTGATTCCGACATTGAATTCTGTCAATTCTTTGGCCCGACAAAGTTCCCCTTCTGCACGAGCATTCATACATTCGGTTCCTATGCATTACCCAATACAATGAAAAAATTGAATGTGCCGAGAGGGAAAACCCAAAAGGCGACGCCAATGGCTGCTCGAATGTGACGAGATTTGAATTAAGGTGGCGCGGCTGAAAATACAATTGCATGATTGGACAAAATTGGATGTGGTGACGGAAGGAAGAATCACAAGGCGAAGCCGATTGATACTACAAAGTGACACAAACTGAATTGAGCTGGCACTCATGAACAAATGACCACTGTATGATTGGTGAACGCCTCAATTTTTAAAAAACGAATTCAAGAATCAACTCTTTCTCTCTCTCTTTCTCTCTCTCTCTCTCTCTCTCTCTCTCTCTCTCTCTCTCTCTCTCTCTCTCTCTCTC